TTTTTTTTTTTTTTTTTTTTTTTTGAGACGGAGTCTCGCCCTGTCACCCAGGCTGGAGTGTAGTGGCCGGATCTCAGCTCACTGCAAGCTCCGCCTCCCGGGTTTACGCCATTCTCCCGCCTCAGCCTCCCGAGTAGCTGGGACTACAGGCGCCCGCCCCCTCGCCCGGCTAGTTTTCCGTATTTTTCAGTAGAGACGGGGTTTCACCGTGTAGGCCAGGATGGTCTCGATCTCCTGACCTCGTGATCCGCCCGTCTCGGCCTCCCAAAGTGCTGGGATTACAGGCTTGAGCCACCGCGCCCGGCCGAGAACATTTTTTTGGCTGTTTTCAGACATTCATCCTAGCAGATGAACTTCAGCATTGCTTCCTCAAGATCAAAAAATAAATGTTTAAAAACTTTGCAAATATATTTTAGAAGCACACTAAACATACAAATTCAGTTCGGAAATTAAGTGCTTTTAGATAGTATGTAGGAACCTTCTCTGTACAACATCCATCATAGCCCCAACCACAGGAATGTCATGATTAATTAATAAATGAAGCACTAGCCACACACAGGTCACGTGAAGCCTTGCCATTCATTCTCCCTCTCTCCCTGTGCCTCTGGCTCCCTTGCCACCTCATGACCTCCTGTTGTGCCCCAATTGCCCAGGAACTGGCTCCTGAATCTACTTTCCCTGCAGCACCCTATGTGCCATACCTCATTTGGCTGCTGCCTTCCTTCTCCCTATTCAAACCCGACAGCCCGATATCCTATGACAAATCAATCCTATCAAGTAACTGACCAGCTCCGTAATGCAAAGCATGTGGCCCAAAATGTGTCAGTGCCTCCTTTTACAGACAAAATTGAGGCAAAGTCTGTCCAACTGTCTAGGTGAGATGTCCTGAATCTGGTGAACATTAAAGACAGCCAGAGGTGGAGCTATGATGGAGCAGCCTCACCATGGCTGGGGACACTATCCCATAAGCCAGGTCATCTACCTCCCTTTAATGACTCCGAGCTCACCAAGTAAGCCAATGTGGCTTTCTAGCCTGCTGACAACAAGAAGGAAATATCCATGAAAGGGCTCACTAAAAAATGTCAAGTGCCATCAAAAATGGTTAAATTGCCATTTCTATGAGTTTAGCTTGAGTCCTTTTCCCCTCCGGCCTCTGCGATCAATAATGGGTATTCTTTTTTTTTTTTTTTCCTGAGATGGAGTCTCACTCTGTCACCCAGGGTGGAGCGCAGCGGCGCAATCTCGACTTACTGCAACCTCTGCCTCTCAGGCTCAAGCGATTCTCTAGCCTCAGCTTCCTGAGTAGCTGGGATTACAGGCACCCGCCACCATGCCTGACTATTTTTGTATTTTCAGTAGAGACGGGGTTTCACCATGCTGGCCAGGCTGGTCTCGAATGCTGGACCTCAAGTGATCCTCCCACCTCAGCCTCCCAAAGTGATGGGATTACAGGCATGAGTCACTGCACCCAGCCTAATAATGGGTATTCTAACAGACAAGTTTCTAGGCCTGCAAAGATGAAAGCCAAACTTTTGACAGTGATTGACCTCCTATCTTGCTAAGGGAGTCAGAGTACAGTCCTTTTAATTATAACGTGTGGCTCAATTTATAATTATAAATGTATTCCCGATCCGGGTGTGGTGGCTCATGCCTATAATCCCAGCACTCTGGGAGGCCGAGGCGGGCGGATCACTTGAGGTCAGGAGTTTGAGACCAGCTGGCCAAAATGGAGAAACACTGTCTCTACTAACAAATACAAAACTTAGCTGGGCATCGTGGCATGTGCCTATAGTCCCAGCTACTTGGGAGGTTGAGGCAGGAGAATCACTTGAACCCAGGAGGCAGAGGTTGCAGTGAGCCAAGATCATGCCAGTGCACTCCAGCCTGGGCAACAGAGCACGACTCTGTCTCAAAAAAAAAAAAAAAAAAAAAAAAGGCAGGGCGCAGTGGCTCATGCCTGTAATCCCAGCAATTTGGGAGGCTGAGGCAGGTGGATCATCTGAGTTCGGGAGTTCGAGACCAGCCTGACCAACATGGAGAAACCCCATCTCTACTAAAAGTACAAAAATTAGCCAGGTGTGGTGGCACATGCCTGTAATCCCAGTTACTTGGGAGGCTGAGGCAGGAGAATCGCTTGAAGCCAGGAGGTGGAGGTTGCGGTGAGCCATGATCACGCCATTGCACTCCAGCCTGGGCAACAAGAGCAAAACTTCATCTTAAAAAAAATATATATATATATATACACACACACAGACACACACACACACACGTACATATACATATATATACATATATACGCATATATACATACATATATATAAAAAACTATGAATATATTCCTGAAACAATATACTATGTATAGAAGACTCAGACTCTCATGCCCATAGACCCTTTCTAAAAAAAGAAGCTACAGGCATTCCTGGCCGAGAGTTAACATGCTTTGTGTCATCTGAGCCAGGCCATGGCTGATTAGATCAACAATTTGCACTTCAGCCCAAGGAAACCTAGAAACTAATCGTAAGTGCTCAAGGGCCATAAGGGCCATATGTCATTAAGACCCTGTGGCCTACAATAGGCTTAATGAATACACATGGTCCCAAAAGGGTGCTCCCTTCTTGAGAATAACTGCCCCAGTCAGATTCCCTCTCCTGGGAAGACAAAGAAGCTGAGAGAGCCATAGGCAGAAGCAAAAGGGACTCACTGGAAGTTTCTGAAGGAAATTATAAGAATCTGGCTCAAATCCCAACTCAGCCACCTACTAACTGGTTGACCTTGGGTAAATTACTTAATTTTTTCTTTTTTTTTTTTTCTGAGATAGTCTCATGGCTGCCCAGGCTGGAGTGCAGTGGCGTGATCTCAGCTTAGGGCTACCTCCACCTCCTGGGTTCAGGCGATTCTCTTGCCTCAGTCTCCTGAATAGCTGGGACCACAGGCGTATGCCACCACACCTGACTAATTTTGTATTTTTAGTAGAGACAGGGTTTCGTCATGTTGGCCAGGCTGGTCTTGAACTCCTGACTTCAAGTGATCCACCCACCATGGCCTCCCAAAGTGCTGGGATTACAGGTGTGAGCTACTGTGTCTGGCCCCTAAATTACTTAATTTCTCTAAGCCTCAGTTTTCTGTTCTGTTAAACTGAGCCAATGATAGGTGTGTATTATATAATATATAACAGAATTGCGAAAATCACATAGAGTAAAAAACAAAGAATTCAGCAGAGTCTTTGGCCAGGAAGACTTCTCAATGCATGAACATAATTATTTGTACTACCTTCCGGGTTACTGGAGCTACTGCTGTGCTCCAACTAGCAAGCAATCTGCTTTTTTGTTGTTGTTTGTTTGTTTGTTGAGATGGAGTCTCCCTCTGTCACCCAGGCTGAAGTGCAGTGGGGCAATCTCGGCTCACTACAACCTCCACCTCCCAGGTTCAAGCGATTCTCCTGCCTCAGCCTCCTGAGTAGCTGGGACTATAGGTGCACCCCACCACGCCCGGCTAATTTTTTACATTTTTAGTAGAGAAGGAGTTTCGCCATGTTGGCCAGACTGGTCTCGAACTCCTGACCTCAAGTGATCCACCTGCCTTGGACTCCCAAAGTGCTGAGATAACAGGCGTGAGTCACTGCGCCCAGCCACAGTCTGCTCTTAATTACCCTGCAAAAATCCCAGGAAACGCTTAACTCCAGGGAGAACCTGAGTGCTGTGCGGCCTCTTTCCACTTCCCTCACACACCTGGGCAGGTGGGCAGTCATACCATCATCCATCCCTCACAGCCCCCATGTTAGAGAGATGTTGATAAGGAAGATTAATATACTTCAGAGCAGCATACCTGGAAAAATGCAAACCCTGGGGTGTCATCAATCCAAAGTTACCAGGGAAATGGGGAAAGGCAAATGCGGAAGTTGTTCCTGAACAGTTCTTGCATTTCGGATACAGAAAATACTTACTAAAAGCATCTACCGCCTTTGTCAGATTGTTCTGGGCAGACCTGAGAAAATAAAATTTAAAAAAGTTTTTTCTTTTTGAAAATAAAAACAACAAAAATACAATCTACATTTTCATTTGTTTGTAAAAACCCTGTCCTCTACCAGGTCTGGGATGCATTTCCAGTGACCTGAATGATCCTTGCCCCAGGGTGTCCCTCATGGCCACGCCCTCGCTCCAGGTGTTTAAAGTCCCACCTGGGCACCTTTCTGTTAACTATGGAAGATGATTCTTTCAGATTACGCTTACTGTACATGTTTATGCACGTCTTTTTCAGAAATGATACTTCAAGCAGTACAGAAATACTTTCTATTCTGTTACTTTCATTTTATTTCTTTCTTCTTTTTTTTTTTTTTTGAGACAGGGTTGCACTCCATCTCCCAGGCTGGAGTGCTGTGATGCAATCTCGGTTCACTGCAACCCCCACCTCACAGGCTCAGGTGATCCTCCCACCAGCGATCCTCCCACCTCAGTCTCCTGAGTAGCTGGGATTACAGGTGGGTACCACCACACTCAGCTAATTTTTTGTAGTTTTGGTAGAGATGGGGTCTCACCGTGTTGCCCAGGCTGGTCTTGAACTTCTGAGCTCAAGAGACCCACCTGCCGCAGCATCCTAAAGTGCTGGGATTACAGGCGTGAGCCACCACACCCGACCTATCCGGTTACCTTCAAACTGTGAAAATATCTGTGAGTACTCAATTTTCCACCGCCCTTACTATGAAAAATAAGTTCTTTGGCATTAAAACCCATCAGAGACTTTTGTTATTTTCTGCATCCTGAGAGGTGGTTGCTTTGGATGTGGTATCATGAAAGCTTTCTTGAAGTTAGCTTTCATTCATCTCCTTGCTGCTATGACTGTTTGGGGATCGAGAACCAAGAGACTTTGACAGGTACTGTACTCTCGATTGGCTTCACATCAAAATTCAAGCACTGACAGGTGACGACTGCTATGTGCTTTCTGATGAAGTGTTTTTGGGAACTAGATGTCCTATAACCAATGTGTGTCAAGATTTTTTTTTTTTAAATATGGAACACTTCACGAATTTGCACGTCATCCTTGTGTAGGGGCCATGCTAATCTCTGTATTGTTCCAATTTTAGTATTTGTGCTGCCAAAGTGACCACAAGATTTTTACATGTTATATGTTTCTATACCAACAGTGACATCAAATCTCAGCTTTTAAAAGGGAAGGTTATTTTAAAATCTATACTAATATTTACCTCAGGAACATTACCAAGGCAAAGGATTCATGCCTATCTCCTGTCCTGCTGAGAGAGGTGGGTCTTCATTGCAATCTGCAATTTCATTTATCCATACAAGGCAGGCCAAATCACAGACTTGGGCAGGGCTCAGTGGCTCATGCCTGGAATCCCACCACTTTGGGAGGCCAAGGCGGGCTGATCGCTTGAGGTCAGGAGTTTCATTCAGATCAGCCTGGCCAAAATGGCGAAACCCTATCTCTACTAAAAATACAAAAAAATTTAGCAGGGTGTGGTGGTGCACCCCTGTAATCCCAGCTACTCAGGAGGCTGAGACATGAGAATCACTTGAAACCAGGAGGGGGAGGTTGCAGTGAACCGAGATCATGCCACTGCACCCCAGCATGGGCAGCAGAACAAGACTCCATCTCAAAACAAAAAAAAAAATCTCTGACTTTTCCAGTTTACCAAGACTACTGCCAAAACACTACTGTGTGCTTGAAATCATGCTCCAAAGCTTAAAACGCATTTTTCTTATTCATCCACCAAGATTGATGAAGTCAAGGAAGTGCCTAACATTAGACCATTGTATATCCTATGCCTCATTTTCTCTTCAATGGGAAATGCAAGTGGGTTATATAAGGTGATATACAGAACAACTGCAGCTGTCTGAGGACTGAGCAACAACATGCCTAAGCTATAATACTGAGGATGGCAGAGTTCTTATTGATACCATTATCAGTTTCATTAATCTGCAATGTTCATAAAGCAGACATTTCCTTCTATGAGTCCTTTGGAGAAATAAGTTTTTAATTATACTAGAATCATATTCAATAACACTCTTCAAAACCATGAATGCCCTCCTTGTATCATGGCTGGGATGCACAATGATCTACTGGTTGAAACAAGGGCTTTGGAGTCAGAGGCCTGGCTTTACCGCTAATTACTTGTGTGATTTTAGACAAGACAAGTGACTTCATTTCTCCAAGTATTATTTCCTCATTCATCAAATAGGGATGCTACGACTTACCTGTGAAAATTAAATAAGATGATGCAAGTTAAATATAATTGTTAATAAGATTACAAGAAAGTTTTTACAAATATTTTTTCCTTAAAATTTTTTTTTTTTTTTGGAGACAGAGTCTTGCTCCGTCGCCCAGGCTGGAGTGCAGTGGCGTGATCTCAGCTCACTGCAAGCTCCGCCTCCTGGGTTCATGCCATTTTCCTGCCTCAGCCTCCCCAGCGTCTGGGACTACAGGTGCCCGCCATCACGCCTGGCTAATTTTTTTGTATTTTTAGTAGAGACAGGGTTTCACCGTGTTAGCCAGGATGGTCTCGATCTCCTGACCTTGTGATCTGCCCGCCTCAGCCTCCCAAAGTGCTGGGATTACAGGCGTGAGCCACCGTGCCCGGCCTCCTTAAATTTTTAAAGATTTTCCTTTTTTTTTTTGAGACCGAGTCTTGCTCTGTCATCCAGGCTGGAATGCTGGAATGCACTGGCACAATCATGGCTCAGTGTAGCCTTGACCTCCTGGGCTCAAGTGATCCTTCTGCCTCAGCCTCCCAAGTAACTGGGACTACAAGCATGCATTACCATGCCTGGCTAATTTTTAAATTTTTGCAGAGATAGCGCTCCACGAGGTTGCCAGGCTGCTCTGGAACTCTGGGCTCAGTGATCCCCTGACTTCAGCCTCCCAAAGTGTTGGGATTACAGGCGTGAACCACCACACCCAGCCTAGAAACATTTTTTTTTTTTTTTGAGATGGAGTCTCCCTCTGTCGCCTAGGCTGGAGTGCAGTGGCGTGATCTCAGCTCACTGCAACCTCCACCTCCCAGGTTCATGACATTCTCCTGCCTCAGCCTCCCAAGTAGCTAGGACTACAGGTGCCCACCACCACGCCCGGCTAATTTTTTTTGTATTTTTAGTAGAGACGGGGTTTCACCATGTTAGCCAGGATGGTGTCGATCTCCTGACCTCATGATCTGCCTGCCTAAACCTTCCAAAGTGCTGGGATTACAGGCATGAGTCAATGTGCCCAGCCAAAAGATTTTTAAAAGATTACATTTCTCACCTGTAATCCCAGCACTCTGGGAGGCCAAGGCGGGTGGATCACTTGAGGTAAGGAGTTTGAGACCAGCCTGGCCAACGTGGTGAAACCCCACCTCTACTAAAAATACAAAAATTAGCCAGGCGTGGCAGGCATCTGTAATCCCAGCTACCTGGGAGGCTGAGGCAGGAGAATCACTTGAACATGAGAGGTGGAGGTTGCAGAGAGCCGAGATCGTGCCACTGCACTCCAGCCTGTGTGACAGAGCAAGACTCTGTATCAAAAAAAAAAAAAAAAAAAAAAAAAAGAAGTGGCTATCCTGTTTATGAAGGTGAAGGTACAAGCAGATAAATGCCTACACTCAACCTGTGTGTTAAACAGGCTCTGTATCAATTACATTCCTATTCTAACAGTCGTCTACTCACCTGTATCTCTAAATGCTTATTTTACCAAAAATGGGCCAAAGAGAATCTCGTGCACAAAAACAAAATCTAATAGTGATCCAGGTATTAAGTTAAGTACTACTTGCCTGCAGGCGGTAGCTTATACCTGTAATCCCATAACTGGCTTGAGCAGTGGATCTGAGGAGTCAGGTGAGGCCATCTGTGGCTAACATGGTAATCCCATCTCTGCTAAAAGCTTCCGTGTGAGCATGTGGCCAGGCACCTGTAGTCCCAGCTACTCGGGGAGGCTGAGGCAGGAGAATGGCGTGAACCTGGAAAGGTGAGTTTGCAGTAGGCTTCAGTTCACGCCACGCCAGCCTGGGTGACAAGTGAACTCCATCTCAAAAAAAAAAAAAAATTACTAACACACAAAAAATAGTAGCTCACAACCCCTTGAAAAGTTGTTTCCTCATCATAAGCCGCCTTCCTGGAAGCAATACTATTTGAAATGACATTAGTGGTAGTACCCCTCATTTACACTTGAATGAGATTCCATGTGAGATTCTAATATTTTACCCTGGGGGGGGGGGGACGGGAAAACACGAGAAAAGGGGGGGGGGGGTTGCAAAAGCACAGAAACGGGCCACCCCCCCCCCCGCCGGGGGAAAAAGAAAAACACTTTAAAAAAAAAAAAAAAAAAAAAAAAAAAAAGATTACATTTCCTATTCTAACAGTCAAGTCTACTCCTGTATCTCTAAATGGCATTTTTACCAAAAAAATGAATGCAAAGGAGATCTCGTTAACTTAAGAAACAAAAGGAATCTAATGGTGATCCAATTAAGTTAAAAAATTACTAACGCACTGCCGGGCACGGTGGCTTATGCCTGTAATCCCATAACTTTGGGAGGCCGAGGCAGGTGGATCACGAGGTCAGGAGATAGAGACCATCCTGGCTAACATGGTGAAATCCCATCTCTACTAAAAACACAAAAAATTAGCCAGGCATGTAGTAGGCACCTGTAGTCCCAGCTACTCGGGAGGCTGAGGCAGGAGAATGGCGTGAACCTGGAAGGTGGAGTTTGCAGTGAGCTGAGTTCACGCCACTGCACTCCAGCCTGGGTGACAGAGTGAGACTCCATCTCAAAAAAAAAAAAAAAAAAAAAAAATTACTAACACACAAAAAAATGGTAAGCTCTAACCAGCAAGAAAAGTTGTTTCCTCATCATAAAACTCACGCCTTCCCTGGAAGCAAATACTATTTAGATGACATTAATTGGTAGTACCCTCATTTTACACTTGGATAGGATTCCATGTAGGATTCTAATATTTTACCCTTCAGGCCCCAATTAACTGATTTATACTCTACAGACCACTAAAATACAATAATTCAGCTGCAAGTCACTTCCAATTTAATTCAGTGAGTTGTTTACCATTTAAGTTAGATCACTGTCAGTCCTCTCTTAAACCCTCCAATGGCTTACCATTCCCACTCCAGGTAAAAGCCACACCTGGCTCACCTCTTTCAGGCCCTGGCTTAAATGTTACTTTCTCAGCCTTCCCAACTCTATAACTGCAACAACTCCCCTTCCACCCCCCTACTCTCATATTTCTCTATTACTTCTCTGCTTTTGGTTTTTTGGTTTTTTTTTTGAGACGGAGTCTTGCTCTGTCACCCAGGCTAGAGTGCTGTGGAGCAATCTTGGCTCACTGCAACTTCTGACTCCCTGGTTCAAGCGATTCTCCTACCTCAGCCTCCTGAGTAGCTGGGATTACAGGCACATGCCACCACACCCAGCTAATTTTTGTATTTTTAGTAGAGATGGAGTTTCACCACATTGGCCAGAATGGTCTCAATCTCCTGACCTCATGATCTGCCCGCCTCGGCCTCCCAAAGTGCTGGACTTACAGGCGTAAGCCACCGTGCCCAGTTCTTTAAATTTTTTTTATTTAAAGAACCAGATGGAGATCAGCTACAGCATACATTGTTCCTTCTTTTTTTGTTTTTGTTTTTGTTTTTGTTTTTAAGGCAGGGTCTCCCCCCGTCACCCAGGCTGGAGCGTGGTGGTATGATCATTTCGGCTCACTGCAACCTCCGCCTCCTGGGCTTATGTGATTCTCCCACCTCAGTCTCTCAAGTAGCTGGGAGCAGAGATATGTGCCACCATGCCTGATTAATTTTTGTATTTTTTTTTTTTTTTGGTAGAGATGGTGTTTCACCATGTTGCTCAGGCTAATCTCAAATTCCTGGGCTCAAGCAATCCGTCCGTTTCGGCCTCCCAAAGTGCTATGATTTTTATTACCTGGAACAGGAACCACAGGCCAAGCGTGGGCCATCGCATCCTTCCTGTGGCTCCTTTTTGGGGTAATAAAAGTATTCAAAAAATATTCTAAAATTGGTTTCAATGATGAATGCACAACTCTGTGAATATACTAAAAAGCACTGAAGTGTATACTTTAGATGGGTGAATTATACGGTATATGAGTTATATCTCAA